ATAATACATTTTTAGCAAATCAAAATTATAAAAATATAATATTATTATTACCTCCAGCAGTAAAGTGACTCCTCCAGTTACTTTAATCTCTCTTCTGTACAGTTCCTTCTCAAAAGCAATGTTACCCAGTATAGCTGTGTATAAAGGATCATGTGACAGTCATGTGACACTATAGGCTCATGCTACAGTACCTGCTGTATGTCTCAATATTGTGTAACTCTTTGGAGGAGAGTCCATTCCCAGTAGAATACAGGGAGCAGCCTATAGTGAATAATACAATAATTAATAATAATAATATTGACTATAGTACATGTACATTTAATAGTGCAATCTGTAAAATTAGCCAAAAATTAATATAAATACATGTACATGCAGTAATTAGCCAAATGAACTTTCCATTGATGTACATGTATGTTACAAATAAACTAATGTATTATTGCAAGTCAATTGAATTTAATTAATTATACATGTACAGGGATGAAAATAAGGTTTTAGTATTAATCTGCAACTTTTCAGGTCATATTTGCTTTTGGTCTGACAGTATGAAGCAATGACAGGACACTTTTTTAATGCAGCAATTATCATGTGTATTGTATCATTTAAATCTCTTAAAGAAATGCTTTTTGTAAAAAAATCACTGAGATAACAAAAGTTCAACAATTACATTTAATCAGTAAACTAGTTGTCCCAAATATCAAGAGAAAGTTCTGGTTCCAATGTAGCCAATATAAGCTTTTTTTAGACAGAAACCAAGTAAAATTAGTCGGTTTTTGGCCGTTTTCAGACTGTTATTTTCATCCCTGCATGTACATGTACACGTATGTTACATTTGAAGCAACTATAGAACACAGTGATTTCATTGGCTCAAAATAATTCTCAGAACCAAATCAAAACAAAGTTAAAATTCCCCTCCCCCTACCTGTGGAGCAATCCCACGACAAGAATCAGGAAGGACCATCACATGGTTCAAAGGTACTGAGACTTCAAAACCATAATCAAGACATAAAAAGGTGTGGTCACTTCTCTTCTCTTTTGAGTCATCGTTCAGTAGCCACCCTCTGTACCAGACCCCCTCACTCCACACTGCATACACTCCGAATGAGAGGGGGAGGGGAATGGGCGGAGACTCCATGGAGGAAGGGTGTGGCTAAGGAAATAAAAATATTGTAATTTTAAAATTACATAAACCAAAATACATGTACAATGCAAGTACATTTACATGTACATGTATATGCATCAGATAATGTAAGAAAAATGGAGAGTTTTCTTCTTTACATTTTTGGCAAAATTTGGCCAACGACCCTGTACTACAGTACAGGGACTTTGACCCGATTTTAGAACAACTTTAAAAATTTGTAAAAAATCCAATTTTGATCGGAATCAGCTCAAACTTTCTATGCAACATAAGTACATGTACATGTACATGTGTGGTAATGTACATGTACATTTTAAAAACATTAAAATTACCAGTTTAAGTAACGAGTCGACCATTTCCTTCACATTATCAGGTTTCTTGTCGACAGAGAAATTCAACCAAAGACTATTAGAACCAGACACGTGAGTCCCTCTAGCCACGATCCAGGAAAGATTCTCAGAGTCTAAAAAACTCCGATTAGGACTAGCAGCAACACCCAGACCTTCCTTCACTAGTATATCAGTAACCCAGGTCTTGTCTTCATTGGCTATATCAACGTAGTACAGCGGATAGTCTATAGCTTCAAAGTGAGAGAGGACTGGAAAAATGGAGGAGGTTATTTTCTTCTCGTCTTTATTGACAGGAAGGACAGCTGCTATTAGTAGTTTATCAACCACCAGCTCTCTTAGCCTGCAAAAAAGAGTCAGTAAACTCTTGTATACTTTAGTACAATAGATATACTAATACACCATACATGTATTATGTATACATGTACACAAGACATAACAATGTACATGTGCATGAATATCTATGTTATATCCCCAGGGCATATACATGTACATGTAAAAGTTTTAATTAAAATGTTACGTGTGCAATTGTAAAAACAAAACTCAATGAGGTGCATCAGTAGGGGTAGCTACCAGTATGTGTGTTATATCAAGTGAAGTGTAAAACGAGGCATAACAACTCAAATGATTAGATCACCTATGATATGGTGTGATGTAATCAAAATCAATTTCAGTGAACTACAGCCTAATTTTAAAACACTTATACAACTGATTAGAATTACATGTAGCTGGCTTTCTTCACAGCTATATAAGAGCAACAGTATGCATCAGAAAATGTATATGTGAAGATCAGCAACAGCTTTGTCATGAAGTCAATCTGTACTATTATTATTGAAGTATAGCCCTTACTTCTGGTGCTCTACCAATCACTGACTATGCATTGAATGAAATTAACAAGAAAGAATACATGTACATGCACTTGCTAACTATACACTCTCTTACAGACATCAACTATTGTATATACATGTACATGTAGGCAAGCATAAATGGACAAAAATAAAAATAAAAACGAAAAACAACAGAATGGGTGGCACAGGGATGGGAACAAAATGTAGGAGTGTGAAAACAGAATTAATGAAGCAGAAAGTACCAAGGTACTCTTTGTTAAATGAGACATGTCTTGGCTAGCAGTACATTATCACACCATCACGCCACAATCAGCTAGGCCACCTACAGTGTATGATACTATAAAAGGAGCTGTACGGCGAAGGGAGCTTTATTCCATCAACTTCATTTCCAACTCCTTACATCCAGTCATGTCTGTTCTCCTCATTGGATCCACTGGAATGGGAAAGAGCACCTTAGGGAACTATCTTATTGATCCTTCTGAGAAGCACATGTTTTGCTCCCAAACCTTTGCTACAGCCACAGACAATAGGCCAATGACACAAGAAGTTAAAGTCGAATGCAAGGAGGTCCAAAGTATTGAAGGCGGTGCAAAATTTTTCCTTAAACTAATTGATACCCCAGGGCTGAATGAAGGTGCATCACAAGACCTGTCTCACATGATCGATATCATCAAAAAAATCAACGAGTGTGGAGAAATCAAGGCTTGCATTCTCGTTGTTAAATTCAATGCTAAAATTGACATGCAGTACAGGGCAACACTGGAGTACTATAGTAAGCTCTTGCCTAGTCTGTTTGAAAACAATGTCATTATTATAATGACTGAATTCAAAACAGACAGCGATTCAGAAGAGCTAAGAAAGAAGCTAGGCATTGATGTTGAGCAAATAAAAAGTAACACCATAGAAGAGCTTCGCAAATGCTCCAATAAGCAAATAACATATACACCACAGCTATTCACGATTGACTGCCTGGCCATACAAAATGATGCACAGGAAATCAGCAAAAAGGAACGTGCAGCAATCCTTGACTATATCCTTCAATTGCAACCGATAAAAGTTGAAAATCTAATGGTAGCAAAGACTGATTATGTTCAACAAAAAGATAACGAAAAGTACAAGGAGCTCCTGGGAGAGATAGAGGGATATAATTTAGGGCTGATAGAAGCTTATAAAAGAAGTGAAGATGCCCTTAATAGCACGCACAAGAAAGAATTGCAAATTACTGACATTGAGAGTGAAGTGAAAGACCTTGAGGAAAAGTTGCGTCAAAAAAATACAACAGAAGAAGTTGTGGCTGCACAATTGTCCATCAATCAAGAATGGAAAATGCTTCAGTCGATTAAACGAGATTTCAAAATTGAATCGCAATACGAAGTTACAAATTATACCATATGGACGAATGGAAAATGTGAGTTCAAAGATATTGTTCGAACATCCAAAGAAGTTAGTGGAAGGGTCAGAGGTGAATTCATGCATGGGGTTTATGCATTAGTTACTGCCTTCACCGAAAAGAGAATAAAATATGCAAGTGAGATTGAAGAGTTGAAGAGAAAATTAGAAGAGGAAAAGGGTAATCTCACACGATGCAATGAGGAACGAGTAGAATTCAGAGACTCGCACAAGAAAGAAAGAGAGGAAATAGAATTGCTGGAGAAATTTATTGCCGTAAGGCGGAGTCGTGCTAAAAAATGTCGCTCAAAGCTGATGAAAATAGAAGATGCCATACAAAGGCTACAATTACTGCAATGAATTACTATAACAATAAATTACAATAGAATACTAAAACAATTATTATAATGTACATGTACATGTAGTTCAACTAGACTTAGTTTTAAAATTTTCTATTTTAGGTATTACTTTTATTAATTTCAATTTGTTGTGACGTATTAGTTATTAAAAGTAATTACTTATAATTACAATTTATTTTTACTATTATTTACCTTTCAGTAGTCTCTGGTGGATATTTGTTCTGGTCGTATTTACATAACTTAACTACCAGAGAGGATCCGCCCATTGTAATAAAAGCAGCTTGATTAGCCTCACAATGAAAGGTGACCTTTCTAAGAGCAGTCAGTACCATCTCCTGTACTGGTATCCACTCCCACTCACTCTAATTAATAATAAAATACATGTATTATAATAATTACAACTTGCAAGAAAGAACTATAAAATGACTTAGATCAAGTCAAATTTGCAAAAAATAAGCTAAAAACTTTAACTGCCCATTTTAAATTTTCATCTAAATCAGTAATTTTTAAAAATTATTTTTAAAATACAGTACACGTACATTGTGCTGTACCTTTTCCT